CGGCGGCCCCTTCCCGGTTGTTTTTGGCGAGTTCCTTCCCGCCATCCCCCCGGCGGGAGCAGCGAGGGGGTACCCAAACAGAGCATCCCCCCCCACCCCCCACCCCAGGGATCTTCATTTTCCTGACCACTGACATTTTGATGCTGAAGTCGGTCTTTCCCCCACTCTAAATTTTGGGTGAAACTTTCGGGGGGTCCCAGGACCCCATTTCGCGGGTGCTGTGAGCACGAAACCAGTTTGTGTTTCCCACTGGCAACGCCGACAGCTTCCCGATCTCCGAGGCACCCGCCTTGCGTCAGCTCCAGTTCCATCCACGCCGCTTTTTCCTCTTTTCCCTTAAATCCCAATCTTATGGGCTTGGTTTTTTTTGGGGGGGTGGGGGGAAATTTTACCCATTTGTTACTCGGATGCTGCTCCGCGGGAAGGTCGCGGTTGGGTTCGGTGCAGCTCCCCGACACCCGGACATCGCTGCCGGAGGAGCCCGATGGGCTGGAAAGCGAAGCCGGGTTTAAAGAAAAACCCTATTTAATGCGAGGCTGGGCGGAAAGAAAAACCATATGTAACACAAAGTTGGGTTTAAAGCAAAACCAGGTTTGATGCAAAGCTGGGTTTAAAGAGAAACCGGACTTAACGCAAAGCTGGGTTTAAAGCAAACCCATATTTAATGCAAAGCTGGGTTTAAAGCAAAATCATATTTAATGCAAAGCTGGCTTTAAAAAAACATATTTAATGCAAAGCTGGCTTTAAAGCAAAATGATATTTAATGCAAAGCCGGGTTTAAAGCAAAACCCTGTTTAATGCTAAGCTGGTTTAAAGCCAAGCTGGGTTTAATGAGTTGGTGGCTCACACCAGCCTGAGCTTGAGACTGGGGGAAAGGGGTTGTGTTCGGGGGGAGCTGCCGGAGGGTCGAGGTCCCGGTGCCTGGGGAGTGGGAGATGTGTCCCACGGCTGTCCGTCAATGCTGCCGGGAAGGGGGAAAATTGTTTTCCTAAACTCCCATGACGCTGTAAGGCGGCAGATTTGCACTCCGGTAGCACTCGAAAGCAAAACCTGCTGGTGTAAGGGATGTTTTGCAAACACCCGGCAGCGCTGTGAGTCACAAGGGCACGGTGGGACAAGCGGGGCAGGGCCCAGATCCTGAGAAATTCAGAAATTCATCCCGCTTTCCAAACTCCAGGAGGTCGCCGGCAAGGTTAGCATCACCCCGTCCTTGCGAGACGCATCCTGCTGGCACAGCGCTGCACGGCACGGCCGCGGTCCTGGCCCGTATCCACGCTCCCGCGGTTAAATTTCCTCTTTTTTTTTTGGAAAAAAAAAAAATTAAATTTTATTTGCTCCTGACATCTAGTGGCACTTCTCCGCAGAGCCGCTGAGTCACTTGTGCCCGCACACCGGAGCCATTGCAGAATATAATTTCTCTTTTTTTTTGAGGGGGGGTTTACAAAGGTTTGCAGCCGCTTCGGGCAGCGCCACCGAGGTCGGTTTAGCGGCTGCTGGTCCGGCTGCGGCTTCAACCCCGGGATCCTGATGGGAGGATTTGCAAGGATTTACGGCCAGTTTGAAGCTCTCAAAGTTTGAGAAGGAATCGCGGAGTCGGTGGCTGGTTTTTCCCTGCCTTCCCACCAGCCCAGAAAGCCCCAGCCCACTCCTCTCCATCAGCCCGAATAAAACCTCCGCTGCCTCACCACCGGCAGCCCTCCTCCTGGCTGTGCCTTTTGGGGCGTCGTGTGTGAATTTTTCCCTTTTATCCTGTATTTTTTTCCTTTTTTTTTTTGGCAGTTCTGAAGGACCTCAGCCCTTTGCCTGGAAGGAGCCGATGCCATGGAAGGAGATCAGCCCCCTCTGGCTCCAGGGGAGCGACCCGGG